AGCAAGACTTCGTCAAAAAAAAAAAAAAAAAAATGGAATTCACTAAAAGGATCTGGTTCCAAAGAGTGTGGGAAAATCAAGCTCGGTGACCACGCGGCCAAACCGTACCCACAATCAGGCCACAGAACTGGGGTGGCCAGAACACTGCTGCCACCACCATGGCCACCACTGTTGCCACTGTGGCTGCCACTGCCACCTGGACCCCCTCATCTCCTCCAGTCTGCACTGTGCTGCCCCTGCTGCTTTGGAAGCAGATCTTGCTGCCACCACTGCCCTCATGTGCCACTAGAAGCTAAGTCAGAGTCCTGTGGTTGGCTGAACCTGGCCCAGCAGCTGCTTCCTGGCTGCAAGGGAGGCTGAAGAAGCGATGAACTGGCCCTTTGGGCTTCTACAGTAGGATGTAGGTTCTGTCTCTCTCCAAGTCTCAAAGAATGGGGAATTCCTCAAACACAGGATGGAGTTTCACGCTAGGGAGTAAAAAACACAATACAGGGCATAGGGAACTGAGCTCAAATAGAGATAATAGCTTCAGCTTTATTCTTGGTAGATCAAAATTGGAGAATGTAGCTGGAACCTGGGGCCAAAATGGGGCTACTGACTCTTCCCTCCCCCTTCCCAGAGCTGAATTTCTTTTCTCTTTTATTTTCTTTTTGTTTATTTTTTTTGAGACAGTCTTACTCTGTCACCTAGGCTGGAGTGCAGTGGCACAATCATGGCTCACTGTAGCCTCAACCTCCCCGGCTCAGGTGATCTTCCCACCTCAGCCCCTTGAGTAGCCAGGTGTGCCACCACCATGCCGAGCTAATATTTTGTAGAAACAAAAATACAAACATGGGGTTTCACTGTGTTGCCCAGGCTGGTCTCAAACTCCTGGGCTCAAGTGATCCATCCGCCTTGGCCTCCCAAAGTGCTGAGATTACAGGGGTGAGCCGCCACACCCAGCCTCAAGAACAGAATTTCTCTCCCTGCTGTAGGGGAGCCCTCCTCCTGGAGCAGGAATGCTCTGCCTTGCTGAGCTACCATTTGACATCAGAAGCAGAAACAAGGGATAAGCTGTTCATGAGGACAGGTCCTGGGGAGGCCAGTGTCTGAACTGTCACCTGTCCTCTGCCTCCCCACACAGAGGGGCAGAAGGGTAGGATCCTCTAATGCTATTTCCATTTGGGGATGGAGAGTCCCATCCATTTCCCAAAGAGAAAACAGCACACACAAAAAAGATGTGGTGGGGTGAGAGGGGGTATGAGGGCATCAAGGGGAGGCAAGCTTTCCCAGGAGGCAAAGTCGGTGATACAAAGGAGAACAGTAGACATTTGCACATTACCTGTATAAAGATGCATGTTCTTAACATCCACACAAAGCTATGCACTCCCATTTGTCCTTAACATTGGCTCCTCTCTATGTATTTTTTGTCCTGCCTTTTTTTTTTTTTTTTTTTTTTCCGAGATGGAGTCTTGACTGGCTGCCCAGGCTGGAGTGTAGTGGCACAATCTCAAGTCACTGCAACCTCCTCCTCCTGGGTTCAAGTGATTCTCCTGCTTCAGCCCCCCAAAGTAGGCTACTTTCAACACGCCTGGCTAATTTTTGTATTTTTAGTAGAGATGGGGTTTCACCATGTTGACCAGGCTGGTCTTCAACTCCTGTCCTCAAGTGATCCACCCACCTTGGCCTCCCAAAGTACTGGGATTACAGGCATGAGCCACCATGCCTGATCATCCTGCCATTTTTGAAGGACATATGACAGGCTGATTGTCTTCCATTTGGCTCTTCCCTTGGATCCTCTCTGCCTCCCCACCCAAGTCTGTGTCCGGGGCGCTGACTCATACAGACTTCTCTGTCTACTAGCTTCCAGCTGGTGTGGCCCCTGTGATCCCCAGGGGGAGCTGGAGGGAGGGAGGAGTGCATTTGAAGGATTATTTTCCAGAATCCCTTCCTGCGGAGTCCCCATGGGCTGGCCACAGCCCTTGACCTACCCTTAGCTCCGTCAGTAGCCCTCTCTCTCCAGGTCCCCTCCCTGCACCCCTTCAAATTTAGGGTGGTAACAGTCCCAGGGTTCCTAGCCCCAGGGTACTGAATCATTCCTTCTCTGTTGCTTTTCTTAATCTCTGTTCATACTTTTGTAAGTAATCTCATTGCTAAACTCATGTCAATTACTCAGCTTGAGTGTGTCGTCTGTTTCCTGGTGGTACCTGAATGACATCTATGGAGTCTGGAAATGTTTCTCTACCCAAAGGAAAAACAACAGCTCACATGCACCAGCAAACAGGACTTCAGTGAGTCTCAGATTCCTGAATGTGAGGGAGACGGTAAGGAAAGGTAGAGACGGTGCCAAACGGAAGGCGCATGACCACTCACACTCCAGCCCTTTGTTGTCATGACAATGGCAGCCCAGTGTTGCCCATTCTTCCCATTTTTCAAGAGGAGCAAAACATCCAGATTTTTAAAGTGGTACCCCCTGATTTTTAAATGTTGGCTCAGGCTGGGCATGGTGGCTCACGCCTGTAATTCCAGCACTTTGGGGTGATCCACCCAAGGTGGGTGGATCACCTGAGGTCAGGAGTTTGAGTCCAGCCTGGCCAACATGGTGAAACCTCATCTCTACTAAAAATAGAAAAATTGGCCAGGCAGGGTGGCGCATGCCTGTAATTCCAGCTACTCGAAAGGCTGAGGCAGGAGAATTGCTTGAACTCGGGAGGCAGAGGTTGCAGTGAGCTAAGATTGCACCACTGCACTCCAGCCTGGCAACAGAGCGAGAATATGTCTCAAAAAAAAAAAAATTGGCTCAAATTTTTTGAAGTCATGATATGAGCCAGGCAAGCAATGAGGTGGCTGAACTTGGCCCCTTTTCAGTCTCTGCTCTCAGTGTACAGTGTCCTGCAAAGCCCCAAACCCTCCATGGTGCAAAGAGCCTATGGGAAGGACCATGGTGACAGGTCATTAGTGAGACTCAGGACCCAGTGGTGGGAGTGGAGAGGACTGGCTATGCCGCCTCCTCCACAGAGGCTCCACGGGGAAGCCGCAAGCTCCAATCCTGGCAATGCTGTTCTGTAGCCGGCAGCCTTGCCGCGCTTGCCTGGTCCATCATGTCTAATATGGGTGTCAGCAGAAAGTAAATTAAATCCGCTAGGCTGTAATTTGCAAAGAAAACATTTTGTGGCAGTAACTAAACAGAGCATTATGTTTTAATCGGGTTTTAAAAATGTTTTAAAAATCATTTTATTGTGCAGAAGCTGGTATCCTAAGAGCTATAATTCCTTAACTAACAGTTCACTAATGCAATACCTTCTAATCTAGATGTTCTTGCCAGCCGGGGCATTTGTCTTGATGCTCTTAAAGCTACGTACTTTCAGAGCCGAAGCGCTACACTGCCTTCCCGCCACTGAATAAGGAGCCCTAGTACCACCTCCTGCTGCAGTTTGTCCTGGCTTTGAAAGAGAAACAAAACTATTTATCTTTCCTTTGTTGTATTTGCCCATTCATTTGTTTGTGTATGTACATATGCATGCACATATATATTTCTTAATGAACACTTGTGTACTCCTATCTATAGATTTTGCAAGTATTAGTTCAGTGAATTCTCTTATAACCCCTCGAGGGAGGTGCTATTCTTAGCTCTGTTTTTACAGATCAACAAATTGAGGCACAGAGAGGTGAAGTAACTTACTGAAGGTCACACAGCTGGTAAGTGGTAGGGATGAGGGTCTGGCTCCTGAATCTACAGTCTGAACTACCTTGCTGTGCTGTCTTGTCTTTCTGCCTCCAGCCCCATTCCTGAAGCCCCCGGCTCACCCATCCTCCTGCACTCTCTCCTGCCATTCCTCTCTCATCCTTCAGAGATTCACTCATTCCTTTGTTTTATGGACGTCATCTGCTGTGTGCCAGCCCTGAGGCTTGTAGGGGGGAAATCCCTTGCCATGGCAAGGGTCTGAAGCCTCAGCCTGTTCCCATATAAATATTGAGGAATTAGAAATGTAGGCACATAGTTATTCCTTTGTATAATCATATATAATCTTATAGTTACTTATAAAAATATATACTCAATATTACCTTTCATTTTACTCATGACTATCAGGTTATGAAGCATGGAACTGAGGTGACATTGTGAATAAAGTGATCCTAAGGCAAGATGCTCTAAGCCCTCTGTCACACTCGCATAAGGGCTGCTGGAGGGCGCCTCGGCTGTGCGGCAGCGCCAGTGCTGTGAAAGTGCCTGATGTTTAGCCAGCTAGGGAAGGAGACATGCAAAATGACCGAGACATCTCCTTCCTAGGGAAATTAGGAGAAAACTCCGCTTCTCCAAGCCCTTGTGGCAAGGCGTGACGGATGTCAGGGAGGCCCGTAGACATCTAGGGTCTTAACTGTCTCTATGTGATGCTGCGCTTCGGTGGTCACGTTCCATGTCTACTTTCATGCCCTGTTTCTGCACCTGGTTTCTCTTTTCCTTAAAAGATAAGAATTACTAATAGTAACATAAGGTTAGTGTCCTTGCTATTTCTGACAAATATGCGAAGAGCGCTAAGGCATTAGGTTTTCTCCTCGCCTTGGCTACTTGAAAGTCTTGGGTCCCTATCTTCAAGACACGTGATTTACCTGATCCTATCACTGACCACCGTTACCTCATCCTACCTTCCCTGCCCACTGCTTTGTACTCAATAAAAGTCAGAGTGTCCAGGCACTTGGTGCCACTGTAGGTCTCCGCGCTTTTGTTGGCCATGGACCTCCAAGCCCAAACTCTTTTCTGTATCTCTGTGTCAGTGTCTTGTATTTCTATAGTTTCTCGTCTCTGCACCAGCAGGGAGGGGCTCACAGAACCCTATAGGGCTGGACCCTCTAGAGGCTAAATGCGGGGGACCCCATATTGAGCTGTTCTGACATGATTCTTTTTTTTTTTTTTTTTTTTTTGGGACGGGTTTTTCTTTTTTTTTTTTTTTTTTTTTTGGGACGGAGTTTCGCTCTTGTTACCCAGGCTGGAGTGCAATGGCGTGATCTCGGCTCACCGCAACCTCCGCCTCCTGGGTTCAGGCAATTCTCCTGCCTCAGCCTCCTGAGTAGCTGGGATTACAGGCACGTGCCACCATGCCCAGCTAATTTTTTGTAGTTTTAGTAGAGACGGGGTTTCACCATGTTGACCAGGATGGTCTCGATCTCTTGACCTCGTGATCCACCCGCCTCGGCCTCCCAAAGTGCTGGGATTACAGGCTTGAGCCACCGCGCCCGGCCTGACATGATTCTTGACAGATGGGGCTCAGAGTCTAGGAAGGGAAAGAGCCTGGTACCCAGGTGCCTCCAATCCCTGAAATGAAGGGAATACAGTCAGCACTGGGACAACCTATGAACACCTGTGTTAGAAAAAGATGCCTGCAGTGTTAGTCACTTTACCATCCTCCATGTGGAAAGTCATGTACGGATGTGTGTGTGGTGACTCTGATGACTAGAGTGTGAACGGTGCTCCTAGAGTCCTGCACAGCCTCCACAACTGCACATGTCGGACCTCAAAAAGCCACAGAAGATTGGAGGAGGAGCCCATCCAAGAATAGAGCAAGGGCCAGAGAGCTTTCTCGAGGGTAGCTGAGATTCAGAGAAGGAGTAGGAATGTGTAGGTAAAAAGGGAAGCGGGGGCCATGCTCTGGGCAGGGAAACAGCATGTGAGAAGAGCCCGGGTGGCTTGGTACCGTGTCCGTTTAGCTAAGCTGGAACTTCATGTCCCAGAATGCCCTTCCCTGTGTGGCTCTGGGTCAGGTTTGGCTTCAAGAGAAATTTGTATGAGTCAGGAAGGTGGAGACCAAGCAGCAGCCTTGGCTTTGCTTAGTCAGGTGCTGTTGCAGTGCATACATTTAGACGCAGGGCAACAGACAAAAACACCGCTTACTCAGCTTCCACAATCTCAAGACAAATCCTAACGTCCTGCTCCTCTGAGCAATAGAAGGAGTAGCACGGGGTGAGGTTGCAGGGTAGGCAAGGGCTAGACCATGAAAGGTCCCCGGGGTCAGGGGAGCCACTGCAGGTTTTATTTTTTTAGGATCGATACATGATTTCACATACCACAAGCTTCACCCTTTTAAAGTGTACAGTTCAGTGGTTTTTAGCATATTCATAAAGTTGTGCAACCATCACCACTCTCTAATTCCATACCATTGTCACCACCCAAAAGAAATCCTGTACCCAATCCCTTCCCACTCTTCCCTCCCTCGAGCTGCTGGAAACCACGAATCTATTTTCTGTTCGGATTTGCCTCTTCTGGACATTTCATATAAATAGAAGCATTCGGTATGTGGCCTTTTGTGTCTGGCTTCTTTCACTTAGCATGTTGCTTTTCTTTGTTTATTTTATTTTATTTTTTGAGACAGATTCTCGCTCTGTTGCCAGGCTGGAGTGCAGCGGCATGATCTCAGCTAACTACAGCCTATGCCTTCTCTAGGGTTCAAGTGATTCTCCTGCTCAGCCTCCTGAGTAGCTGGGATCACAGGCACATGCCACCATGCCCAGATAATTTTTGTATTTTTTTTTTAAGTAGAGATGGGGTTTCACCATGTTGGCCAGGATAGTCTTGATCTCCTGACCTCGTGATCCACCTGCCTCAGGCTCCCAAAGTGCTGGGATTACGGGCATGAGCCACTGCACATGGCCGCATTTAGCATGCTTCTAAGACTTGTCCCTGTTGTCACATGTATCAGTGCTTCCTTTTCAGAGCTGAGGAATATTCTAGGCATTTGGATCGCTTCCATTTTTTGGCTATTATAAATAATGCTGCCATGAAAATTCATGTGCGAATTTTTGTGTGGATATCATATGTTTTCCAATCTCCTGGGCATACACCTAGATGTAAAATTCTTGAGTCATATGATAACGGCATGTTTCACTTTTTGAGGCAGTGCCAAACTGTTTTCCACGTGGCTGTTGCAGTTTTGATTCTCACCAGCAGTGTATTAATACAAAATTTGTAATTTCTCCACATCCTCTCCAACACTTGTTACTGCCTGTCTTTTTGATTATAGCCACCCTAGTGGGTACAATGTATCTCATTGTGGCTTTATTTTGTTTAATTAAACAATTTTCTTTGTTGGGGGGGTCTCACTATGTTTCCCAGGCTGGTCTCAAACTCCCCGCCTTAAGCAATCCTTCCATCTCAGCCTCCCAAAGTGCTGCTTTCTTTTTTTTTTTTTTTTTTTTTTTTTTTTTTTTTTTTTTTTTTATTTTTTTTTTTTTTTTTTTTTTTTTTTTTTGCCTTCACCTTTTCTGTAAATTTTTTTTTCCTTTTTTTTTTTTTTTTTTTGGCGATGGAGTCTCACTCTGTTGCCCAGGCTGGAGTGCAATGGTGTGATCTCAGCTCACTGCACCTCCACCTCACGGGTTCAAGCAATTCTCTAGCCTCCCAAGTAGCTGGGACTACAGGCACATGCCGTCATGCCCGGCTAATTTTTCAGTTTAGTAGAAACAGGGTTTCACTGTATTGCCCAGGCTGGTCTTGAACTCCTGAGCTCAGGCAATCTGCCTGCCTCAGCTTCCCAAAGTACTAGGATTACAGGTGTGAGCCACCATGCCTGGCCTAGTGCTGGATTTATATTTATTTATTCCAGGTCCTCCAAGGTGCTGGTGGCATTTCTGATTTTCAGTATTTGAAACATCAAATTCTTACTTTAGGGCATTAGCCAATCCATGTAGGTTTTCTTTCTTTTCTTTCTTTCTTTCTTTCTTTTTTTTTTTTTTAACAATCAGAACATTCTAACTGCTTTGGCTGGCCTACTTCCTGGTTCTCCCCTTCATCCTGATGTGGCATCCAGTGAGGCCAGATTCTGGCATGACAGAGGGGAAGATGTAACTGGGTCACTTCTAAGGCCTAAGAGACAAGGATGAAGGCTGGCAGGGAGCAGCCTGTGTCTGAACAGTTCTCTTACAGAACTGCTGGCCTGGAGTCCTGGGATAGTCTGGTGATGAGGGGAACTGCATTGGAGAAGCCAGTGTGACTCTCTCGTTTTTCAACCCTCCCACTTTTTCCTACCTGGAGAGGGAGGGGCAGCTTCCTGGTTGGCATTCTATGCCCTCGATGGCCTGTTTCTACCCCCTTCTCCAGGCACTCCTCCCACCTCTCTCTTTCACCTTCCAGACTCCACATCACAAGCCCCCCCAACCCCAATACCACAGACCCCTGTCACATTAAACTTCTGTTTCCAGAAGGGGTGCTGCATTCGTCCATTTTCACACTGCTGATAAAGACATACCTGAGACTGGGAAGAAAAAGAGGTTTAATTGGACTTACAGTTCCACATGGCTGGGGAGGCCTCAGAATCACTGTGGGAGGCGAAAGGCACTTCTTACATGGTGGTGGCAAGAGAAAATGAGGAGGAAGCAAAAGCGGAAATCCCTGATAAACCCATCAGATCTCATGAGACTTATTCACTATCACGAGAACAGCACAGGAAAGACTGGCCCTCATGATTCAATTACCTCCCCCTGGGTTCCTCCCACATGTGGGAATTCTGGGAGGTACAATTCAAGTAGAGATTTGGGTGGGGACACAGCCAAACCATATCAGGTGCTGTAACACAGTAGGCTTTGGAACTGGCCTATTTGGGTTCAAATCCCAACACTACATCCTTTTATTTATTTATTTATTTATTTTTGAGATGGAGTCTCGCTCTGTTGCCCAGGCTGGAGTGCAGTGGCACAGTCTCAGCTCACTGAAACCTCTGCCTCCTGGGTTCAAGCGATTCTCCTGCCTCAGCCTCCCAGAGTAGCTGGGACTACAGGCAGGTGTCACCATGCTCAGCTAATTTTTTTGTATTTTTAGTAGAGATGGGGTTTCACCATGTTGGCGAGGATGGTCTCGATCTCTTGACCTTGTGATCTGCCTGCCTCAGCCTCTCAAAGTGCTGGGATTACAGGTGTGAGCCACTGTGCCTTGCTGATCCTATGGTTTATATACCCTTGGGTAAATGACTGAATCTCTGAGCCTCAGTTTCCTCAGCTGTAAAATGGGATCATAACACTGGCTTCAGAGGAATGTTGTGGAGACTCAATGGGAATGCAAAGAAGCCCTTAGCACAGTGCCCAGTGTCTAAAATGCGCTCTGTAAACATCAGGAGGGGAGGAGGAGAAGGGCTGGGGACGGAGGAGCTGCCACGGTCCCGATAGCTCTCCAGTGCCTGGTTCCAGACCCTCCGGGAGGCCTGCAGGCAATGCGTGTTGTTGCATATGGCAGAGGTAGAGGTCCGTTTCTTATTTTCCACGTGGGTACTCAATTTTGTCCCAGAATTACTTATTGAAGACTCTGTTTCCCACTGCTCTGTGGGCCACCTCTGTCAGGTATCATGTGCCTGTGTGTTTGAGAGTCTGATTCTGGGTTCTCCTTTCCCCTCTATTGGTCTTTGTGTCTGTCTTTGTGCTGAAACCACGCTGTTTTAATGACTAGAGCATTGTGATGAGGATGGCCTAACACTTGCTACCTGTTGCCCTTGAAAGCATCTCAGCTATTCTTGGCCAGAGTGTTTTTTAAAAAATGTATGCCAGGTCTCATCTCTCCCAGCCTAGTCTCCTCTGATGGTGTATTAAAAGGAACTAATGCTGGGAATTTGGCAAGACCTTAGGAAGGGCTGGAATGAGGCCCACGGAGCTGCTGGGAGCCAGGCAGTATTCCTTCTCCTTGCCCAAGCAGTTTTCTCTCCCGAACCTGCCCTCACTCTCAGGTCTTTTTTATATAGATTAACTGAGCCCTTCTAGCTTCGTTATGTGAGATTCACCATTCACCCAGAATCTCCACAAGAGAAGGGCGGCCAGGAGCTGAACCAGCAAGCAAGACTCCTCTATCACCAGGGCAAGGGTGCGCAAGGGGAAGGTGGCTTCTTAAACATCATTTTCTCTCTGGACACTGTCCATTACTAGGAAGAAAACTGTGCTCTGGCTGGGCACAGTGGCTCACACTTGTAATCCCAGCACTTTGGAAGGCTGAGGCGAGCAGATCACTTGAGGTCAGGAGTTTGAGACCAGCCTGGCCAACATGGTGAAACTCTGTCTCTATTAAAAAA